ATTAATTATTTCTTTCGACCAATTCTTATTAGTTAGTAACAGTTATTTATTTTTTTGCTAGTTATTAATTGTTAGCTTGTTTTCTATAGTTATTAACTGTTAGTTTTTTTGTGATTTCTTGTTAACTAGTTTTCTTACCAATTATTAATTGTTAGCTTAATTTTTGTTAGTCATCCTTTGTTAATTTGTTCTTTATATATATTTGTTTTTTTTAGTTACACTTTGTTAATTTGTTTGTTAATTGCATAGCTTACTTTAATGCTCTTACAAGATGTTTTAAAATTGTGAGCCACATACAATTTAAACACTTCCATCTCAGAGACAAGACAATCGCCGGTTAAAGCGTGGAAAAATTATACAAATTATAAAAAGTATATATATATATATATACACACACATTATTGATAAGGCCNAATTAAGTTTGGGTGCTCTAGTTAATAAAGTTTTGTTATATTGTAAAGTTACACACACACACGCATATATATATATATATATATATACTTATATATGCACAATTTTCTTTAATTTAAACTTTACTCATAATAAAAAAAAGCATAGTAATTTTTATTGTATCATTTCTAATATTTGGCTGCACATTTTAAGAATATGGCGGCACACAAAAGTGCCGCGGCACAGTGGTTGAGAATCACTGATCTAATCCCTATACTCCGGCAAAGCTAATATTTAAGTATTATCAAATAAAGGATCACATCATTTTTTTCACTGTTTTATCAAGTAACGCTCTTCATGTCTTCATGACCACGTTTGACGACTTTTTCACACTTCCTATTACCATTGTCACTGTTTAGAAGGTCCAGGATAATACCAGCACTTTTTAATAACATATTTTATTCAACAAAACAACATCAACAATGGTATACAATTAACAAGCAGACAAACATAACATCTTACATCCAGATCTCGTACGTAAAGCCAACTAATCTAGAAGTATTTGGGGGAGGTTATCCAATGGATGCGCGCATGCGCTAACATTTTAGTTTCAGTTCGTATTTCCAAAAGTTTCACTTCGGATTTTAACTTACCACACCATGTTAACAAATATAACGCATAAAACAATAGTAAAAACGTCCTTTTTACCATGCATACAGATACAATGCATAAAATAATAATAAAAAGAGTTATATTTTTTTTATCGTCTAGTACCATACACTTATTAAAGGATGAAAATTTAAATATTTAAGTTCGTAGAAATAATTAAATGGCATTTCTCAGCGAGATATTAGACTGGGATGAATTGTTTTATTTTTAAAACTTTTTTTACCATGCAATTTAATAGGTAAAAAAAATACAGGACAAAAAAAAGCAAAAATGTAACTAAGAGTTATTACAAAATTTGTCCAAAAATAGCACATGCCATGCTAGTTTCGCTTTATATTTTTACTAGCGTACAATTTTAAAGTATTTTATATACCGAGGAAAAACGTCTGATCTAAACTACCAGAATATGATGTAATTTATCATGTTTCTGGCTCTATGGGAACACCAAAAAGCTCGGTAAAGTTTGGTAAGGATTTCTGTAAAATGAACAACAAAGTATGGTTTTATTATACATGATAAAATTTGGTAAATGTGGTAAAATTAGGTAATTTTATCACATTTTCTATAAAATTTACTTTTCAGTTTTGTTTTTTTACTTAATATGTGATAATGAGAGCTATAATTTTCATAACCAGAATTTACTGTAAGGCGTTACTATATAAACGGAAAAACTACCAAATGAATGGTTTAAATGTCGTATATTTGGTTTCAATTACCAGAACTTCCGTTTCGATACCATAGATGCTATAACCATACAGAGCGGAAAATTTACCAAAATTCCTTTCCCGTGTAAATTTAGATTTTTATTCTTTTTCTGATCAAATTTCTCATACTTAGTACCAGTCTGATCTTTCGTATCTGTATTTGTTTACTGTTTTCTCTTTTAACAAGTTTACATTAATGCAAACTATTCTACAAAGGTTGGCCATTTCGTATTTTAATATGTCTCAATCATATAAAATTAGGTTTACTCCGAGTATAGACTATAAATTTTTAACACATAAATGTTTTTTAATTACTGATGTATGTAGTTGGCATATATGTACTCAAACACTAATGTTCCATTAATGATTAATTTAGGACTACGGAAATAAACAGATGTAAGACATGCATTTCATCCAAAGATATCAAAGCTTCCCAATGAATACATGAATAATAGCTATAAAATATCCAATTTACAACCATGGTCGTATGCATACTTTATCTCAAATTTTGATTATTTATGTGCTGTGATCAAAACCTTTACTCTTTCAATGGATTACATGCTTTTGAAACCGTGTATCCTGATAAATAATGATATGATTCGAGTTTCAGCAAATACTAGACATCTAATAGCCACACTCATGTTGGTTGAAACGAAAAGGGAAGGATATATTTAACAATTTTGTACTTACACAATGCATCTTATAAGGCAGTTACTTATACATTAATACTATTTAAATCAATATACGTTTATTGAAGTAGTTTTCATAAATATTATATGTTTGCATATTATGATAACATTATTTAAATTATTTCCTTAAATATATATATTCAAGTTCAAATATATCTATTGTCAAAACGTAAAGCGTCAATGTAAATATTTTACAGCGTTAAAAAATTTATATAAATTTCTAAGCAAATGATATATATTTCTTTAATAAATAATCACATTAATATTTATTTCTATGTCAAATATCTCAGAAGAGATCTCTAAATAGTATAGTATTTATTATAGTTTCAAAATAATATAATTCTGTTATTGAAGCACAATTGAAGAGTTAAGTATAAAAAATATTTAGTAAAAATGTAAGCATATTCATATTTCTTGGTTAAGCAAACATTTAAAAAAAAATGTTTTTTTTTTTAAATTTTTTCGAAAATACTTAGACTTCCGGAGAAAAAAAAAGATATGTTAAGCGACAATATCATGGATATTAATTTTTCCACAGGAAAAGTCCAATTATATTGGATTAAATTGTAATAACTTTGAAGTGAGTTAAATCACATTTTTTTTGTTATCAAAATAGCCTAATTTTGTGAATTGAGTCAGAATACTTTTTGTCTCATATGCCGGATAACTTAAGATATTATAAAAATATTTTGCACAAAAGAAAAAATTTGAACTCGATTTATAAAAAAAAGGAATGGAGGGGGGTCGCATTTTAAAGCAAATACCCATATATATATATATCAAAAAATGATTATAAATTGTTCTTAAGAAATAATTCAGTTCAAAAAGTAAAATTAAAGTAACGGGGATGATAAAATGACCATTTTTTAAATATACATATTTTTAACGAGGTGGAAAATGCTTTAATTAATTATAATTAAGAGATTTGATAATGTATGGAGAACTATTTTAGATTTTTTTAACTATATATATTGTTCACCACCGAATTTATTTGAAACCGATTAGACACGAAAGAATGAGTGCCATATATTTTTGAATTTCATAAGAAAGATTGTGTGTCATATTTTCCTAAAATACTTACTTATACCTAGAAAAATAAATTATAAAACACATTGATTTTGTTGAAAAAAAAATTTCACTAAAATGTGAGACGTTTGAGAGATAACATTAAGCATAAGGTTTTGGCCAAACGTTATACGAAATAGGTATTTTTAGGTGTACCTTATTTTTTTTTAAACATTTTCACGCATGCGCTATGAAGCTCGAATAGCGTTAGCGTTACAATTAGCAGAAATCTGTAATCTCATGCAAAAGCTCAGAAGAAGAAAAAAAAGAAATTTGAATGGGTAACTGAATTTTATAACAGTCGTTGAGCAGCCGACCGATTTTTTTTTTTTTTGGAGGGGGGTTACGACTACTAATGTTCAACCCCATAACCTTGTAATTTTGAACCCAATCCAGAAGACAATGAAAAATAAATATTTCGTCTACACACGCAATCTGTATAGCACGAGGGGCGGAAAAACACCTATTTCTAAAATCTGTCTTAAAACCCGCATAAAATTCCTTATAACAATCTTTTTCAAGTGTATAATGTTATGTTATACTGTTTGGAGAAGGTAATTATACATTTGGTGTTTCTAACACTATTTAGCCTCAGCTATGCAAACCCTCTGTAAAGTCACTCACCAAAATTGGTCTTAAGGGAGTGTCCTAGGAAACTTCTGGACAATCAAACATGTTTCAATTAGCATTCTGGTTATATGTTCAATTTCTTAATACCTTTTGTTAAATAAAGAGCAAACTTTTTTTTAAATCTAAATATCGAAAAATTAATGATTCCCAAATTAGGTGATTATAATTTCATTTCTAAATACTAATTCTTCAATACTGATAATTATATACAACGAGCTGCATTTAATTTACAAATATAATTTAAAATATGACCCACTGTTAATTTTCGAGCCTGTCACCTCTGAAATTTAGGAACACCTCCCATGAAGGCATAGCATAGCGTACAAAATCGGATAGGGGGAGTTTTGAAACTTATAAAAAATTGAATATAAATTGTAGATTTTATTATTGATGAAAAAAATCTCTATAATTACAGGAACAAGTTATCAATGAACTTATATGTAGGTAGTTAATGTAAATTTTGCGAACTATTTGTGTTTCCTTTATCTAAGCCAAACAAATAGCGAGTATTTGGAACAATTTTTATAGATAAAGTGCTGTTTAAAAACGTTTGGAACGCTGTCCGCTAATAAGTATTACTAAATCATGAAATGTGAAACATTAATCAGTAAGAGAAAGTATTCTTATGTTTATTTTTGCAACCACTTGTATGTATTAATCATTACGGCTTCATTACATTTATCTTGTATAAAATTAATACACTTTATTTGCGCTGCGTAAAGATAAAAACGGAAATACATTGAGAATTCCCGTCTTTGGAATAGTTTTAGTTCCCATTCTGATGAAGGCTGCTCTGTGACGTAATATCGATATCAGCTGATCGCCTCTCGACACAAACAGAAACTTTAATAACCTCATGCCGTCTACTATCAGTTTGTTTTTCTTTCATCCGCTCCGTAGTACAAAATTTATTAATGGAGAGTGGTTGATCGTGTAAGCTTTACTCTGGAAACAGTATGTTTATGTTCATTACTTGATATATTTATTTATTGTTTAAAGTTCAACACAATTATTTATCATAGTTTTTTTTAAAATAGGAACTTGGACTTTTTCTACTGAACTTCAAAACGATTGCAATGTGAACGATTTCAGAACTTTTAATTAGGTTTTACTCCTATAATCATGTACACTAAAAAAAACTTGCGGATTGAATTGTGCAGTGAGAATTCTAAGTTCAACGATGCTTATTCTTTCAGAAGAATACGTAAAATAAATTCAGTAAATGCTAAAACTGCAACCAATGGAAATTTTGTTTGGGCGAACAAACAATATTTTAAATCCCCAGTTTGCGAAACTTTTGAAAATGGTCGTTTGGTAAAACGTTCTTCTAAGCCTGTCGAGCATCAATCACTTAGATTTAATAGAGTTAATGAACATATTGCTGTTAAAAATGAGAGTGAAATAAATATTTCAAAGAAAACTAAAAAAGTGTCTTTCCAAGACCACAATAATTATAATCACGATATTGAGATGAAGAGAGAAGAAGAAATTGAATACATGGATGTTGTTAGATCAAAAAATAAAATCACAACTCCAGAGAAAAATGTACCTCGGAAACGGCCTTGTATTAGTAACATCGATTCCTTCAATCGACATCCAAGTAATGTTTCTAATTTATTCAATTCTTTGAATGATCATAAAGATAATCTTTTGATCAATAAGCCACAAAAGAATGAAATTCAATCTCTTAAACATAATGGTCCACAAACTGTAAAAATGGAAGAAAAATCTAATAAGCCGCAGTCAGTACTAAAAGAAAACACTGGTTTTGACAATATCCAAGGTATGTCATCAAAAATCAAATCTCTTTTGAACATACCTGTGAACAGCAACGAAAAAAATGATTTAGACAGGGAAACTAAACAGGAAAATTTTATTCAATTCAGTTTATTCAAAATTCTATTCTATTCTAAAATTCTATTCAATGCTCTATTTCAATTAATAAGAAAGAATTTATCAGAGTATACTGCTGAAGTTTCTCTGCAAAATAGCTGGAGAACAGAGAAAAATTCTTATGCTCTGATCCAAAATAACAATCGACAATCTTCTTCCATGAATAGAGATTTGAATGAGACAGATAAGAGCCCTTCTTTCGGACATGACAAAATTAAGAGTCCATCTTTTGGATATGAGAAAATTAAGAGTCCTTCTAATGAATATGAAAGAATTATGAGCCCTTCCTTAGATGATTGGATTAAACAGTGGAAACAAACTTGGAGACAAAGAAATTCTGATTCTGAAAGTGTAAATAAAAATACCACGACTACTAGGAGCAATTTGAAGGAAGATAAAGAGGACAACAAGAACACTTCTAAAGCTGTCAAGGATTCTGGAAGAGAAGAACAAAACAAAATAAAAAATATCTCGACAGTATATACTTCTGCAAGTAATGATAGATATGACAACAAAACTGATTCTGCAACGATTAAGAATTGCTTAAGTAAAGAAAGTCGAAGCAGCAAAGATATTTCTGAAACTAATGAGAATTTTGTAAGAGAAAATAAAGTTACAAGCAAAGATAGCTCTCCAACTATAAAGAATTGTGCAAGCCAAGATAGACATGGAAACAAATATGGTCTTGCAGTAACAAACAAGTCTACAAGTAAAGACATCGAAAATAAGAAATATATTCAGAAACCTTCGAGTGCTACATCGGCTGACCAGATCTACTCTGAAAAAGATGCTCTGCTTTGCTTGCAGGTGACTGGTCAAAATTTGACCTCTGATTTGACTGTGAAAAAAATAATGTTGGAGTATGTTAAGTCCCGAAGACCAGAATTAATGAAGTTGATTCCACTTGAGAATTCCAAAAGTGAAGAAATTCCATATAGCTGCGCAGCAATCATGATTCTTTTGCAGTAAGTAGAAGCTTTATTTTCTTGTTATAAGCACTTGTTTTAAACATAAAATTTTTTACTCAATTTAAAAATTTTCTTAAAAAAATAGTTCTTGATGAATAATTAAAAACTTTTTTTTTTATTATTGTCACTTTTTGGTGAAATTTTTGTTAAATTATTGAAATGAAATTTTTTAATTTGTATAATTAGTGTGATTTAACTGTAAAAATTTCCTTGATCCAACATGAAGGCAAATACAAATAAGGTGCGTAGCACAATTTTTTATTTATTTAGAAATTACAGAGTATTGTTATTTCTATTTTAGTATTTAAATGTGCCTATTTTGACAGTTATAACAGCATTTTTGTAAACGTTACCATATCATACCTCCTTGGTAATGAAATCTTGCTCTGAATTTAAAAGTTTTTTCTTTAATTAAATGATAACGAATTGAATATTTTTAAATAGTTCTTGATTATTAATCTATCAGGATATATACGTATACAGCGTGAAAGGTTTCTTGAATCAAGCTTAAAGCTTTTTATGTTTTTGTGCACATTTTTTTAAAAATAAAGTCAGTGTTATTTTTAAAAAAATATTAAATGCTTCCTTTATCCACTTGCTCGAGCGGTTCTCAACCTGTGGGGTGCCCACCCCCCGTAAGGTGGCGCAAGCACACTAGAAGGGTGGCGTGAAAATATTCTAGAGAAAATATTATTTAAAAAAATTGATTAACTGACTGAAAAGAAAGCACACATACGATAGAAAACAAAATACATTTCGACTTATTTAATAACTTATTAAAGTAAAAAAACTTATGAAATTGAAACTTAGGATGGGTGAGCCAAAGGTGGCCATAGATAAGCTTTGAGGATTTTACCTAATTTTCTGATTAAGTCTGAGTGGCTAATTTTTTTTTTTTTTTTTGCAAAATTTTACACTTATCTCTAATACATATCACATATACTTTTGATTGTAAAATAGAATTTCATTTATTCTATAGTACAATTTCACAATTTTAGCTTTTGCCCATACTGTGGCCCATATATTGAAATCACTTTTTCACTTACTCAAATCATCTTTAGAAAAGACACTTGGACTGACAAATTTTTTTTATATATATCATTTACATTGATAGTTCTCGTGTGACGTCACTAGTGATTCTTTTGAGTTAACTCATTAAAATAGATCAAGAATTACTGATTAATTCTTTTAAAACAGTTCACTAACCATAACTAGTAAGTAAGAGTTAACACTAACCATATTGGAGTTAACTAACCTAACCCATAACTAGTATTAAAATAACCAAATTAAGAAAATACCAGAATCTATCACAAAAACAAATTGTCTTCTGGTTTCGCCACTTGTCGTGAAGTCTATGAATACTTCTTCCTCATCAATCATCCTTCGGGAGTTTTATGAAATAGATCCCTGACCCACTCGTAATTTGCTATCAGTTTGTCGTCAGCAAGAAAATACTTTTTTTAATTATTTACCAGCAAGGTTAAATGATGTTTCATGAAATGCTCCGAAATCATGGAAGGTGATGATTTGGTTGCTATTTTTCGAATGGAAAAATAGATTGATGAGCAATTTCGTAAATTATGTTGGCAGGCCACAATGGTTGTTTTTTTAACAAACTCTATTAATGCAAATTCACCGTAAGCCAATTCCTTCCTATTTAATGCAGAATTATTTTTGTGCTGCTTTTAAGAAAGTATAAAATTATCACTGCTGTATTTAGACTTATTATCAACCATTATGCAAACATATCTATTAGCACTTATTCTGATGTTTTATGACTCTACTTTTTAGATTTTTCTTTTTTTACTTTTTAGAGCATATTTAATTCTGAACTTGTTAACTGGAAATTTTTTTTAGCGCTCTTCAACTTTGAGCATCAATATCAGCTGGTAATTTTTATTATTTTCTTTTTTGGGGGGAGTATAACTGCATTTTCAATTTAAGTGGAGATAAAAATTTCAGTAAAAATTTTAAATCAATTAAGAAATGTTTAATAAACTATTGCAGAGAGGCAATAGTTTATTAAACTTGTAAGCTACTTTTAATTCTCTTGGTGAAGTGATAACGTCTATCATGTTTCTCACTTTATCAGAGTATTGCTAATAGCTGGTATCAGGTTTAGTAAAAAAAATTTAATTTTTTTAAGTAATGTATTTGGTTATTGTTTAAGCTTTTAAAATCCTTTCTTTTTATAGAAAGTTTTTTTTAAAGTTTAAATAAAAAAAAAATATTTAAATGATGTTACTAAAATAATTTAACACACTGTTAGAGTTTGATCAGTCATACAGAAAGAAAATTGAAATAATTGATTGACAATTTTCTAAGTACATATGTGGAAGAAATCTTCCATAGAATTAGTTTTAGCTCTCTTCTTAAGATGTAAAAGGGATTTTACTTTTGCCATGTAATCCTATGGAGAGTAATATGAATGCAATTTCCCCATTAGTTAGTAATTAATATTTTTGAATATTTATTTATCTCATTTTATTTGTTGAAATGGGTTAAATTAAAACTATTATCCAAATTTAAATATGAGGTTGTGAGTATTTTTAAAATTCAAATTTTATAAATACTTTTGACCTTAACTTTAAAAATTAGGTTAATATTGGTTACATAGAACACATTTCAAACATTTAAAAAAAATTGTCTTAATATATATTTCTTCAGGCTAACATAGGTTAAGTATGACACGTGGAGATGAAAATATGATAGCTAGATTTGAGAGAAAAATACTGCGAAGAATTTTTGGTGGAATAAGTAAAAACGGTACCTGGTTTAGAAGATCTAACACGGAACTTTACAAAGCATATAAAGAACCTGATGTCATTAAATTTATCAAAATTTAAAGGATTAAATGGGCAGGCCACATTATAAGAATGGAGGATAGCAGGACAACCAAAAAAGTTTTCTGTGCCTGGCCAACAGGTACAAGAAAAAGAGGACGACCAAACCTAAGATTTTTAGACTGCCTTGAAAAGGACCTACAAATTATAAAAATAATAAACTGGAGAACCTTGGCTAAGGAAAGAATGTCTTGGCATAGGCTTGTTGAGAAGGCCAAGGCCCATCCTGGGCTGTCGTGCCAATAAGAAGAAGAACAGAGGTTAAGTAGAATCTTTTTTCTGTTTAAAAGGAACCCCTATGTATACTATGGGACCTTTCAACTCTTTTATCACTCTACCTGATATATTTATTAAGAAAATATATAGTGATTAAAACATACTGTTTAATATACATATTTTATTTCAGATATCTTTTCTCTTCATGTCAAAAAATATCAAGCTGGAAAGTAGCCTTGGAAATTATGGCTCTTAGCCTTAAATACAACTTGAAACGGTTGAAGGAAATGTCTGAGCAATATTTTGCAGAAAATCCCCCAACTCTGCAGAATGTGGAAGAGATCATTCACAATGCATGTTACTTAAAGGTAATGTATCATTTGAACAATGCAACTAAAGTTGAAGGTTTATCATTGTATCAATACTTGTGCATTACTCCTCTGTCTATGGAATTTAAATACATACCTTCTTCTTGCATTGTTTTTTCCAAACTTCTATCTGAATTTTGCATACCATTGCATCCCGTGAACCATGACTTTTCAGCAGCGTTTAAGAAAGATATTAGAAATGTCCTTGCGTTTGAGGCGGTGAAAGGGACTTATGTTTTGACGGGGATTCAAATTAAGTTTGATGTGCATTCTTTAGAAAGAGTGAATATTGAGTGTACAGTTTCGAAAGGGAATCAAATGATTATTTCTGATGAAAAGGAAGAACGCTTAAGATCTTTGATAATCCTTAATTTCGGTAAGGACGTATTGGTTCAGCCGTCAGAAAGAGTTAAAGTTTCCGTCATGATCGAGGATATTCAACCTCGTATTTGTAGTGGAGTTACAAATCTTAAATGTGTGCAGAATTCAAATGGGTGTCATTTCACAACAGAATTATCTTCAAATGTTTCGCCATGTTTGATTTTTATTGAAAAACTTCTTTATACTGTGAGCTTCTGAACAAATTAACATCTCCTAAAAGGGATTCTATGTCTTTACAATTCATCCCATTTGTTTGTTATTTCAACAATTTTTTTAAGGAAGTGATGTATTTTTAATTGATGTATTTGTAATGGAGTTACGAACCTTAAATGTGTGCAGAATTCAAATGGGTGTCATTTCACAACAGAATTATCTTCAAATGTTTCGCCATGTTTGATTTTTATTGAAAAACTTCTTTATACTGTGAGCTTCTAAACAAATTAACATCTCATAAAAGTGATTCTATGCATTTACAATTCATTCCATTTATTATTTCAATTTTTTTAATGTAGTGATTAATTTTAATTACTCATTAAAATATTTTGATTTGATTTTTGATTTGTTATTTCCCAGTAAATGTTTAAAAAAATGTACAAGTGTCACCCTGCCACACAGAAAATAACAAAATATCTTAAAATTTCATTGCATTTCCCTAATCTCATTTTTTGCTGCTAATGCTGATAAAATTTCTAATCACCCCGAAAATCTCAGAAAGCTCTAAATATATTTGTACGTTTCTTTTTATAAAGTTAACTGAAATTTTACTCTCTTAATTTTTGTCTAAAAATAAATAAAAAAAAATTTTAACTTATTCTTACATTTTTTATAATATTACATGTTTGAAAATAAATCAGTCTTTCTTCTATTATTATTTGTCTATTATCTTAAGCTTAACATTAGCAACTAAAAATAAGATTGATAGTATGTGTTGTCTAAAATGGACTGAAAGACACATTTTTTTTAACTGTTGTTATGGTATAGAATAGTTACATATGATCAAAGAAAGAAAAATATTTAATAAATTTTTAAACCGGAATTAGAAATTTAAAAAAATTATTTTGAAATTTTTTTAAAGTTTTTTATAATTGTATACTTGAACAAATTTACATCATATGATATATTAATTAGCTGCATTTTAAATGAGTTCTGTGCTTTTATGTTGCATAAAATGAAGAAAAAAAAGTTTAACGAAACTTGTAACTACACTGTCTGAATAATTAGTATTAATATATATCATTGATTTATTTTCCCTCTCCCATATTCTTTTAATATGGGGAAAAATTTATTTTACTTAATCTTACTTTTTTCTGTAGACTTGATCTACTATAGATTAGACTAAAGATTCTTTTAGCTCTACTTCAATCAACATTAGCTTCTCAATAATATAGTGTTCTTTAAAAGCTAAATTTCATATTCTTCCAAAATTTAGAGAATAATGCAAGAAATGGAGAGGGGACAGTTGCAGAATATTTCATAGAAATTTCTTAATCTGTACCCTATAAAATTTTTCTATTTTACAGTGATTAAAAAAATTTGTTTTTCAATTCACTTTATTATTCTCGTTTAAGAACCTACAAGTCATTGCCTAACTTGTTTGTAAACTTAATTTTATAAGGAATCTTTTAAAATGTAAATCAAAAATCTTGTTTAACATTTATTCTTGTTTAACATCCACAAAAATATTTTGATTATTTTATTTATTTATTATTTTTTTTTTGGAAAAACTTAAATTTATGTTTTGATTTTATTTTTTGGGTGACTTAAAAGGAAACATTTGATGATGTTCCTCGAAAACCTCTTCAGTTAAACTAATTGCTTCGCAATCACTAGGAAACATTTTTTCAATAAATATATTACAAAAATCTACAAATTTTTAAGAAATCCGAAATGCCTAGCAATAAACAGAAAATTATTATATTTGCCCGAAATAATTATTTGACAAAATTTCTCATTAACAATGCAAAGTGTTCCCTTTTAAATTCTTTTTAATAATCTGTCTAGTTCACAATTTGTATTACTTTATATACTTTTTTATGTTTGCTTTTATATGAAACTTTAATTTGTGCAATATATTTGCACTATACATAAAAGACTGATTATAGTGTCATTTTGAGTTGGTGAAATGAACTTTCAAACTTATAATGTTCAAAATGTGCACAAATTGCTGCGCATAAAAGCTTAAAAATTGAATTTTTTCAAAGTACTGCAGTAACGCAAGAGATATGCTCTAGAATCAGAAATGTTATCGATACTCTTTACTGCATTACTTTATTTGGGTGGGATCTTGGGAGGTCAGGCTTCACTGTTTAATGTTGCTATCTTTTCAAGATTAGGGATGGGACTTCAAATTCACTCAAAAATTCTTGAGTGGTAAGTATTTACTTTTCATGGACACTTTAACCAAAGTAGTAAATTACTGCATTGAGATGCTTACATGTAAGATGCATTTTGCATTCCTTATATTTTTGTAGGCTGTTTGGGTGCAAAGAAATGTATTTATGAATTTACAGTTTACTGTAATTAATTCCTATTGAATTTCTTTAGGTGCTTTGAGTTAAAAAATTTTATGAGTCAGTCTAATTCATTATTTATCACCCTTTTGGAGTATAGTGTAAATGTCACCAGTAACTATCGAAATGCATGTATGAATACAGCTTACCAAAATGAAATTGTATTGTTATATTGAAAGTTTTTGCATCTAAGGGCACCATAGAATGGAATCTGAGGACCTTTCTGAACTACTATTTATGATAGTATCTTCTAACTACAATTCCTTATAGTAGAATCTAAGGGCATTTTAGAAGTACTATTCATTATAGTAGAACTTAAGGGCATCTCTGAACTACTAAACATTATAGTAGAATCTAAGGGCATCACAGAACTACTATTCATTACAGTAGAATTTAAGAGATATTTCAGAACTACTATTCATTATAGTAGACTCTAAGAGCATCACAAACCAAAGATTCATCACAGTGGAATCTAAGGGAATCACAGATCTACTATTAATTGCTTCAGTACATATATTTTGTACAATTTCTGCGTAATGTATGTATATTAAAACATACTATTGTCTGTTTATGATTAATTGAAGAAAGACAAAGTGTTCGTGTAAGCAAAATAAAGACTTTTGAACACTTGTTTTTGCTCACTTCAGCATTTCTTTAGAAATGAGAAAACAGTAATTTTTATTGGTGAATTCATTCAAAATAATGTTTCATGTAAAGTTAATTTATGCAACATTAATATGATTGATTAGAATTTGTCTCTCTAACAATGAATATGACGCAAAGTTATTTTGTGAAAAGTTGTTCGTTTTCAAAAGAATGTTAGTTATATGAGTAAGACTTACTTTGTACGATTTTGGAGATGTAACATCTCCCTCCAGTTTTTTCTCTTTAAGAGAAGTTCCTTTTTAGGGTCAACGTGTCTTATGTGTTATGAGTGTAAAATATGCTTCATATTTGTAAAAAATATTTAGTCATATATTAAATATTGTTATATATTAGTATAAGTATTTTTAATGTGTAAAATTATTGTAGTTTTCTATTGATTTGTAATGAATATGTTTAATATATTTCCTTTATCTTTAAAATTTACTTGAAAGTAAAAAAGTAAAGATGTAACATCTCCCTCCAGTTTCTTGTCTTTAAGAGAAGCTCCTTTTTAGGGTCAACGTGTCTTATGTGTTATGAGTGTAAAATTTGCTTCATATTTGTAAAAAATATTTAGTCATATATTAAATATTGTTATATATTAGTATAAGTATTTTTAATGTGTAAAATTATTGTAGTTTTCAATTGATTTGTAATGAATATGTTTAATATATTTCCTTTATCTTCAAAATTCACTTGAAAGTAAAAAAGTTTATAACTTTAACCATCAAATTAAATTAATTTGTCATGTAATACTTTTCAAAATATGCAGCGGTGGAGCTAACTTTACCTCTTTAATTTATTTAAGTTTGTTTAGAAATATGAATACATAATAATGTATGTATAATATTTATGTAGAAATAATTTAATTTTCATTAAATTTAATCCCTTTTAAAAGTTATAACGCAGAATCATTAATTTCCATTACTTTCCCTTGATTGCTAATTGTCTTAATGAGATCTAATTACGTGACTGCATATGCCGAACTAATTTAATTTTTCATTAAAACTGTTAAAGCATGAGATTCACTTGAAACTAATTTCATAAGAAGGATTGTGTGTCATATTTTCCTAAAATACTTACTTAAGTCTAGAAAAATAAATTATAAAACACATTGATTCTGTTGGGGAAAAAATCATTACAATTTGCGACGTTTGAGAGATAGCGTTAAGCGTGAGGTTTTGCCAAACGTTATACAAAATAAGTATTTTTAGATGTACCTTTTTTTCAAAACATTTTCACACATGCGCTGTAAAGCTTGACTAGCGTTACAATTAGCAAAAAACTGTAATCATGTGCAAAAGCTCAGAAGAAGAAAAAAAGAAATTTGAATGGATAACTGAATTTTATGGCAGTCATTGAACAACAGACCCATTTTTTTTGGGGGGGGGGGTTACGACTACTAATGTTTAACTCCATAGCCTTGCAATTTTGAACCCAATTCAGAAGACAATGGAACTCTTGAATAAAATATTGGGAGAAATATGCCTTCGTGGAGTACTTTTTTGGTGACAAGAAAACCACGAAAACCATGGATAGGAAAGCCGCGAAAAACTAATCTGGCGGCAAGGGGACTCTAACCCATGATTCGTATACCACTGAGGATATTTTACGTCAGCACTGTGGTCGATGCGAGCCGGATGTGGAATTCGCATCGTCCAGCCGTCATCGGGATTCAAACCCGGTTCACCTCATGGAAGGCGAACGCTCTATCCCCTGAGCCACCACTGCTCAAGTTACTGAATGTAAACAATGGAGGGCATTTTTTTTTTTGAAAATGTATCTGGAAAGTTTAATCTAATATCTAAAAAAATTATTATTTCGTCTAACGCACACAATATCGAGAGCACTAGGGGCGTAAACACACCGATTTATAAAATCTGTCTTAAAGCCCGTATAAAATTCTTTATAACTGTCTTTTTCAACTGTATAAAGTTTATATGAGTTGGCATGAGTTTGTATGAGTTTTAAACTAACAGTAGCATTCCAGTGCTACAAAATGTCCCCTAAGATAGATCGAATTGAAATAGCAATAGATTTCTCATTATCTAATGGCGTTGAGATAAACATAGTTATGAGAAGCTTATTCGCCTGTATTTCATTAATCTTCCCTACACTCTAAAAACTGTACCGCTGATTTCAGAGGCACATTTGGATCGTTTGTGCCTCTGAATTTTAAGGGCACAACGTGCCTTTAAAAATGAAAGGCACAATGTACCTCTGATTTCAGAGGCACATTTGGATCGTTTGTGCCTCTGAATTTTAAGGGCACAANGCATTTTTATAACATCAATAGAGCACATTTGTAGAAAACTTCTTCCATCGGTAGCGTGGATGCGAGGGGACAGAAAACGTATTTCGTCATAAAATTTTTCACTGATGTGCGCATGCGCTTGTTCTCCGTTACATGATCGTACCGAAGAAAAAGAAATGAAGCGAATTTCAGAGGCACGAAAGTCTTTTTGTACCGCGCATTGACTGGCGTTTGCTTTGGTACCTTTAATTTGTTGTGGTGCCTCTCATTTTTAAAGGCACATTAGTTATGTGCCTCTTACGCGAGAAAATACACGGTACATTTAGCCTGTGCCTCTGAAATCAGAGGTACAGTTTTTAGAGTGTATCAATCATTTTCCGAGAAATGTTCCGATGTGTATATAATTATTTTTACGTGGTCTAAATAAACGATGACCATGCAAAAAATGGTTGTGATTTTCAGGTATGTTATATAGTCTTTCATTGTTCTCGAATTTTCTGTATTTATAAGTCATAGGCAAAAAAAATTATTTTTTTTTTATTTCCGTTGTTATAGTTATTCAATTTGTTTTATACAAATGAAAGTCACGTTTATATCAGATTAATTGTTAAAAAATTTATAAATACAAAATATGACTTTTATGCAACTTTTTGAAGGAAAGAATTACATTTTAAGCTTTATCGAGTTGTATTTATATTTTGATGCATCTGTGCGCAGGTTTTGCAATAATGATTAAATAGTTTCTTAAGTTAACTCTAAATACTATTTAGGAAACCAAAATATTTCACAGCAATCGTCTCCCTTATGAGAAGATCTATGTACAGGGAGCAAAAAATAAACTACCGCCCTAAATAACTTTTGAGCTAATGATCGGATCTTCACGTTCTAGAAATCGATCTTAATGATTTGAGGAGGTTGACCTCAAATATTGTAATTAATTAGTATCGACGATATGAAAGTAAGTAAAAAATACACTTTCTTTGAATACCTAAGTGTGAATCAAAGACATGAAATAAAGATGAAATTGTATTTTATCTAATTAAGCATATCTTCTTCTTTAATTTCTTAAACGTCTGTGAACTGCCAAGCCAATTTTGAGTTTCCGACTACCATTGTTCCACTCCGAAGCCTTGTAATTTTGAACCCAATCTAGAAAACAAGGGTATTCCTAGATCAAGTATTGAGGGAAATATGCCTTCTCGGAGGAATTTTTTGTGGGATCTAACCAGTATTTGCGTTACATGAAGAGGAAAACCACGAAAACCTCCCATGGTTAGCCTGAGGGCTGGAGGATTTTAACCTATGATCCCTGTACAACTGAGGATATCTTACTTCGCTGTGGTAAGCATGTTCGGAATTCGTATGAACCAGCTATCGCTGAGATTCGAACCTGGGTCACCTCACGCTCAATCTCCTTAACCACGGATTTTTGTTTCTCAAAATATGGGAGTAGGAACGATCAGGGAGATATGCTCCACATAGCTTGGTTAGGAGAGCGACCTAGATTGTACCCGTGAATGTTAATTTAACCTTTTTGCGTATTTCACCATATCTCGAGAACTTTTTAAAGGAATAAAAGAAAAATTTGCACACAATTATAAAACTCCTTTATCCAAAAATAATCCCATGCAAAAAAATAGCTTTCAATAAACATTTATTACTTTTTTTATTATTTAATGTAATAATGGTTGGAAAAACTTTGAATTGAAACGTATAAACTTTTTTACATAAGTTTAAAAAATGTAATTTCGTATGTCAAAGTACAAAATTGGAGCGTAAACGATCAAACAGTTCCTCAGAATTTGAATCTTAATTTTCCTTTTAATGCAAGTCAAATATCTGTAAGCTCTGTCAAAAAATAAATGAAATCCTCTACCACAGCGAGTTTGTTTATCCAGGAATTCCCTAGTTTTCTAGATTGGATTTAATAAAGCAAGGTTATGAAAAGAAAACTTATTACTGTAAGGCCGATATTGATCAGCATTTCAAAACAAGTGAAAGTACAAAATGTCATTAAGTAGCTAATAGTGGAAACTATTACTATTCATTAAAAGTACTATTCATTTAAAAAAATAGCTGAAAAAAAAAACAATTTTCCATAAATGAAATGTTAAAATTTTTTTAAAACTTCTCTTTGAAACTTTATACGTATTTCATCACGCACGCTGTAATTAGGTAATTTATTATTTATAAAAAGATTTTCTTAAAAAACTACCTTTTCGTTTGTAGTAAATAAGAAATCTAAAATGTGTTTATATAAGATTATTTTTTTATAAAAAAGTGTACGAAACATAAATTTTATATCATAACAATAACGTAAATCAATATGAAGATTAGAGTTTCAGAACATGATTTCAGAATTTGAAAGGGACATAAAGACACCTTTTACAAATTTTCTGTAGGCTGTGTGGAACTAACAGAATGATATTATTTATAAGTTTACGTTATTGAAAAAGAAATCAGTTATCCAATTAAAAACTTTCAGAATTAGGAGAATTGACTTAGTTATTGCAGCCGATCAATTCAGCTCATCAATCTTATTTGACTATTTTATTTATAAAATGGTTTAAATTTAACACGGATCATGTTATATATCCAATATATTCTAAACAATTTTAATCGACGATGAATTGAAATATGTCACAAAATTTCTCCATATTTCCTATAATTACTTGCTGAAATGAAGCCAAAGAAGAAATGAATTTGGCAATTTATCATGTTTTGTTAAAATCTGACACAAAAAGCAATATATTGAGTTTTTAAAAGATAAATTTTCTAAACATTTATTATATTAATTTTGGAGCTTTATTTTCCTTTTTAAATTCCTTGAAGAAATTCGGACTTTACTTATTGTTAAATTCAAAAATTATTTTCCTTCTAAAATAAAATAAAAAGTTTTTTTTCTCAAAAAGGAATTCTGACAACTACAATAATTCTTTTAAAAAATATTTTTTGCAACACTCAGTTATCGGCCAAGGGTGTCATAAAGGTTAAGTCTCCACAATTTCGGGATCAACGGCATGTTGGTGGAAAGGTAATCTCTTTGCTTGACTGTTTTATTCCCAGATTCGCTGGTACTTTTCGACTATTAACTAGGCAAGATTTTAATTGCTATCCAGATTAGAATCCTGTCCCTTCTTCCTATCAATTCCTTTATTTTTCATAGTTTTTCTTCATTGCTATCGCTATTGGCACAACAGCCCGGGATAGGATTAAGCATTCTTTTCATTGCCTGATTTTGCCATAGTTTACCCCATAGAGCTGATATAAAAGTAGAGCAAGCACGCTGTTATATCCCCCCTCTCTTTTCACCCCAAACCTCAGACTTCTGTAAAATGCTCCCTCTCTTT